TCCTTAAGAAACTGTTTTTGCCTTATATAGCTACAATATTAGCTTCTCATTTCACTTCCTTGTGAAACGACATAAAAGCAAACACTTTTCCACAGCAACGCGCTAACTAAGTTTGTCAGAGGGTGACAAGAAAGCAACAAAACAATTCAGCCATTCCATCGATTGTAACCTACCATGGTAAGTGCAAATTGTTTTAAATCGTTTAAGGCATCTTCTTTACATAAAAATTATATTTTTCGATGAACTTCTTTGGTGTTGGTCTTCACAAAGACAAACTGTGTATTTAGGAATGTTCAGCTCATTTCTTTCAAGTTGTACGTTATAGTTAGTTTTGGTGGTCTCAGGCTGCGCGAATCTGTGATTTTAATTCCCTTTTTTGTTTGATTTCAGGGTTTTATTACAACTGGAACCCTTTCGATTTTGTATCTCTGTATTTTAAATCCAAGTTTTGCTACGGTAAGTAGCTTCAATGTTCTCCATGTTGATTATAATTTACAAATGATGAGTTGCTAGGAGATTTATGAATTTAGTTCAACTCTCTCAATCAATAAAATCGATGAATTTTACCAGGCGAGTTCGATGCTAGAGCCTTTCCCTTCTTATGTGAAAGAGACTTCAGCAATCTCACAAATCACCGATTGACTTAAAATCAAATGACCGTGAGCTGACCTTCGGTAAAACGCCGTTTGAGTTCTGTATATTTTTTATAGATTGCACAAGATAAAATCGTGGAACAAGTCGACTGGAACGATTACAATGTTCACATCACGGAGAGAGGAACGAAATTAATTGAGAAGATACGGATTGACGAGGAAAACAATCTTGTGTACTTCCACGTACCGGCTCACAATGGACTTGCCGAAGCTGACTATCTTTTTGACTTCAATAAGGTAAATGAGTTTGTTTCACGCCAAATGTTTGAGTTGGGGCACAGCATAGTCAGTCATTGAAGGAAATACGGAAGAAAGCAATCAGCCTTTGTACCATGAAGCTCTAGTATATCTAATAACACGGTATATCTAATATCAAATTAGAGTCTTTATCTGTATTTTTAACCATTCAATGATATCAATAACACGTCATCTCGCGTTTTCAAAAACATCTTAGAATAAATTGCCAGAGAGTGAGTTACAGACTGACGGAGGGAATGCTTAACTCCAGCCCTCCTCCCCTCTCCCCCCCTTCATTGCTCAGTCTCTGTCAAAGACTTATAGTTCCCCAAATTTTGGTTTTTAGAAAATATCATTGCGCTGCACAAAAAGTGAAGCCAAATGTTATCTGGGACCACTGCCTCACACCTTGCCAAAGCCTGCTGATCTAAGGACTGGATTGCAAATGGTAAAGAGATATTGATCTATTAATTTATTACACAACTCAAGCAGTCAGAGGGCCAATAACTAAAATCAACCAATCAAAATGCTCTATTCCTGGTCAATATTCTCTAAGTATTGGACTGGGCACTGTCCTGAATGGTCCCGAATGATACCGCACTTGTGTCCCTTTGAACCTCAGTCGTATAATAAATCTCGCATTGACCAAGCTTGCTCGGGACCGTACTGGAAGAATATCGGCCCTCTGTCTTCTTTGTACCGACCGAGCGCAGCGAGGTCCGTACTGTCAAGACCTTGGGCCGATATTTTCCCAGTACAGCCCTCGGTTTATAAGATATATATATATATATATACACCCATTTTCAAAAACGTAGCAATTTGGAAAAAAAATTAAATATGGAATGTACCTTTAGTTTTTCATTAAAAAGGTGTCAACGTCATCTATGAATCTGTCCATTAATAACTCATAAGTACGAACCAATCAAAATTTATGTACAAGTCAGCATAAATGTATATGAAGTGTAATTACCGTCAAAATTTAAGACATGCAGTTATGATATTGAGACATTCTGTCATGATATTCAGACATGCAGTTATGATATTGAGACATGCAGTTATGACATTGAGACATGCAGTTATGACATTGGGACATGCAGTTATGTTCTTCAGACATGCAGCTATGATATTGAGACATGCAGTTATGACATTGAGAAATGCAGTTATATGACATTGGGACATGCAGTTATGTTCTTCAGACATGCAGTTATGATATTGAGACATGCAGTGATGACATTGAGACATGCAGCTATGATCTTCAGACATGCAGTTATGATATTGAGACATTCTGTTTTGATATTCAGACATGTAGCCGTGCTATGTGAATTGTCATTTTTATAGCGTCCATTTCATTATGGTGTTTTGACATGGTAACATGCAGTTCGTCGTGACTCTCAGGGCCTGATTACATGAGCCGGGCTGGCCCGGTTAGCCGGGCTGATTTCTTTTGTTTTGGTGTTCGCCAAAGCGTGAAAACAAAAGAATTCAGCCCGGCTAACCGGGCCAGCTCAGCTC